GGTTGAATGTTTATCTCTTCCTTCTGCTCCCCATCATTGATTTGGGTCCTGGCTTCCTTCCCCTTACTGTTGGTTCATTGTATATTTTTCTTTGTTTCACTTTGAGTAGCCTTCACTTTTTCCTCTATTTTGCAACCATACTCAATCAATTCAGTGAACATCCAGATAACCAGTGTTTTGAACTGTGCATCTGACAGGTTGGCTATCTGTTCATCATTTAGTTTTATTTTTGGAGCTTTGATCTGTTCTTTCATTTGGGCCATAGTTCTTTGTCTCAGTGTACCTGTAAGGTTGGGAGGGGCAGAGGCTTAGGTATTCATCTGGGCAAGGCAACCCAGGACACTGAGTTGTGATGCTGTGTGTGGGGAAGGAGTCCAAGAGGGAACAATGCATCTTGCTTGGCTCTCAGCAGGCTTTCAGTCATTTCCTCCACTACCCACAAGCAAATTTGGCCTTTCTAGTGCTGATTCCCAGGTGGGTGGGCATGTGTATATTCTTGTACCCTGTAGTTCTCTCCAGTAGACTCTCCTATGAGTCTGGGAGCTTCTCCTGCTGCTGCAACCCCCACAGGTTTTTACAGCCAGAGGTTTTGAGGCTTTCTTCTCCCTCACTGGAACCCTGAATTGCGTAGTCTGTCTTGCTTTCCAGATGTACCCCATGGTTTATCCACACGCAAATGTGGGAACACCCAGTCTGCCAGCTGCTGCCTCACCTGCCCGGTCCTCCAGCCATCACCTTGCCCTGCATCCTCTCCACCCTGGCTACCCATCTCTGCCTCTCCCACCAGTCTTGATGAATGTTTCTTCTTTAGCTCCTTGGTTGTCAGACTTCCATACAGTTTGATTTTCTGGCAGTTTTGGTGGTTGGTTTGTTTGTTTGTTTGTTTGTTTCTTAATTTGTTGTTGTCCTTCTTTTGGTTGTGTGAGGAAGCAAAATATATTTACCCACACCTCTATCTTGGTTGGAAGTCTCCCAGTTCTGCTCTTCTGAAGATGGAAAAACATAATGGTGAATGTCTACCTGCCAAGGATGATGGGAAAAAAGGTTGAAAGGGCCTGGGTCCCTGAGAGGATCATTATGGCAGCTGTCTCTGAACTTCTTATTGTGGGAGAAAAATAGTCCTTATATTATAGCTTCTGTCCGTTTTATGTTACTTATAGCTAAATGTGTTGCTGACAAATACCTTGCCTAACTGGCTTTCTGATTCTAGTCTTTTATCATTCACTTTACCCTACATTTATTGTATAAGGGTGAAGGAAAAAAATACCAGAAGAGAATAATAAACAAATAAACACTGACAATATAAGCAAAGGACAGCTGACATCTAAAAACAATTTTTGAAGACCTAAAAACTAGAACACGTATAAAGAAAAATTTGAAGAGGAATCTAGGTCTATTTAGTAAGGTTTAAAAATATTCCTGCATACATCAGTAATTTCTTAAGGCATTATTATTAGTACCACAGTGATGTATAGTAATGAAGACTTACAAGAAATTGTCATTCTACAAATAATATTCAACTTAGAGTAGATATGATGGTGAACCAAACATAAAATACATAACTGTAGGAGCTTATATTTGAACTGGGAAAAAATACATGAACAAAATAATTACACAATAAATAATTAAAATTGGTGCTATGATTTATCAAAGTAAAGCATGAGTTTTATAAAAGAGAACCTGGTCTAATACAAATATTAGTGGGATATGAAGCTGCTGGCAAGGAAAGTATCCTTAGAAAACTGAGGATAAACCTGCCTTGTTAAAGAAATGGAGGGAGGAGGGGTGTGGAAGAGAGAAATAGTATTAGGGGAGCAGAAATGGAGTATACAAAGGCTTTAGGACAAGGGGACAAATATTTCTGAGGAACTCAAAGAAGGTCATGGTGGCTAGCCTGTTGCCTATGTGTTTGTTTCAACTCATCAAGAAAAGATACAATTGTGTTCGATATATTCTGCTCAAGAGAAATGTCAAGTGTGAAATTAGTTTTAAAACTGTTCTACTTTAAAAAATAAAATTAAAATAGTTAACTGCTGAAATACTCTGTAATTTTTGCATTGTCATTTTTTCAAACACTTAGGCATCTACTAAGTACCAGGCATTATACTAAGTTCTGAGAATAAAAATGTGAGTAGGTTACATTCTGTGCCTTTATGGAGTTGCAATAAATAATAAAGAAACTGAGATAAACATAGAATTACAGTTAAGTATACGGAGCACTTGCATGCAAGTGTGGTCAACGGCTAGGGGGACATCAAAAAGAAACTATTAGTTTACTCAGAGGTTGGATTATCTTGAAAATTAATCTATGTCCAGCACATCATTATCAAATTCTACCAAATAAATGTGACTGAGTTTAAGTATAAGAAAACAAGAAACCCTAAACTGACAGATATCAAAATGTAATGTAATTTTTAATGGATTTCAGAGTAAACAATCCTAGCTCAAAAAATAATACTTAGAATTAGATTATCCCCTATAGACTTGGACAAACATTCAAATAACTAGATTTGAGTGTATTTGAAATTTAGAGAATGTATTTGAGATAAAAATAAAGGAAACACTAAATTAGACCTGATTATATACATAGGTCAAAATCAGATAAAAGGGTAGGAAAAAATATGCATTTAATTAATTCTTCCATGGAGATTCAACTGAAAGAGTTACACTTAATTTTTTTTAATTTTAAGCACTAAAATTTGCCTTTTTATTCACTGTAGTTTAGAAGGTTATCAATAAACAAAATTCAGAGACTTGAAACTTTGCATTAGTTCTGGCAATGATCAGCTGTGTAAAGACAAAGTCACTTGGTTTCTCCGAGTCTCATTCTTGGTTTTCAAATTATGAAATAGAATAATTTCATCAGTAGCACCAAGTGATTTGAAAATGGTCTTTCCAGAAAATAATATACCACTCTACTACTATTAGTACCACAGTGATGTATAGTAATGAAGACTTACAAGAAATTGTCATTCTACAAATAATATTCAACTTAGAGTAGATATGATGGTGAGCCAAACATAAAAGACATAACTGTAGGAGCTTATTTTTGAACTGGGAAAAAATACATGAACAAAATAATTACACAATAAATAATTAAAATTTGTGCTATAATTTATCAAAGTGCTATGATTTCAGTATTGGCTAACTGAAATTGTGAAAACTCAGGAGAATACAATGCCATTTTACCAATAACTTGCCAGGCCAGGATATATCAAATTGTGCAAACAATACTTTGAATTTACCCAGAATAAATTGACAACTATATATGCCTGATAGAGAAACTCTGGAGTATAGTGAAGACTGTATGATCTCATTGAGTAGGAAACACAAACTTTCAGTCAGGTAGAATCCTTCTGATAAAATCTGTTCCCTTGTCTGAGATAAAGGAAATAATTAAAAATCATCCAAATATAATGTCAGATATCACTGTATGATAATATGAAGATAAATGGAATGTGTATATACTATTTCTGCTGTAGGACATACCTCTTCCTTTCTCAATCATCTTCACTAAAAGCATTTGATAAAGTTGTTTTTAAGTGAATAAGCCACAGAGGAGTTTGATGATTTTTAAAAAATGGAGTATGGTTTTGTCTCCAGGTCCAAAAAATAACACAGTAATTATATGTTGTGCTTATAGAACATAATGATTCTAGAACATGAAAATTCTCATTGTAATTGCAGTATAATTATTTTGATATGCATATATTATCCGTCTCCATCATAATTATTATGCATAGGTCATGTTATCTTGTTTCTAATTTATCCACTATGTACTGGAGGTGCAGATTTTTCAAATATGTAGATTTACTTTTAAACATATGGTGCCTACAATACTTATCATAGGACATCAACATATGAATATAAAAAAATACTAATATTCATGTAAATAAGTAATGTTCTGGAAAGCCAAGCCTATACTATTTCTTAGTTTATTTTATAAAAATAAGACTGTCATGGAAGAAATATTTTTTATAACTCTTTGTAATATAAAATAGTTTATCATACTCTTTCCCTTGCCATCTTTTCTCTTAACAACGCAAAGGTTCACATATACACGATACAAGGAATTTTGACAAATGCTAATGAAGTTCCTCACACAGGTTTTAATGGGAAAGAGCATCACACCACACACATTTGCAAGACCAGTAGTCACAATCCTTTTGCCTGTGTTGGAATAAGCAACCCTGGGGGACAGTGGTGGATCACCTCACTTCTTTTCCTCTGCAGACCTCACTCCCCTCTATACAATGTCATGTTAATGATGTGATGTAAGCAAACTCTACAACCTTTGACAAACTTAAAACAAAATTATAATGTATAGAAATACATAATTTTAGAGAAAGATGAAAAAACACATAATGGAAGTCCTGTGATGGTTAATTTTATATGTCAACTTGGTCAGATTATGATGTTCAGTTATTTGGTCAAACACTTGGTTAGATGCTGCTGTTAAGGTACTGGGTAGATGTGATTACCATTTATAATCAGTATACTACAAGTGAAGAAGATTATCTTTCATAATTAAGATTGGCCTAATTTAATCAGTTGAAGCCTTTAAGAACAAAGGTTGAATAGGAAGGAATTCTGAATAGGAAGGAATTCTCTTCAAGACTGAAACATTGAAATGTAGTAGTTTCCAGCCTTTAATCTCAAGACTACAATATTGACTCATCTGCATTTCAAGCCTGTAGACTTGCCCTACAGATTTCATACTTGCCACCATCCATAATCACATAAGCCAATTCCTTAAAGTCTCCTCTTCCATATCTTTCTTACATATGTATCCCCTATTGAGTCTATGAAGAATCCTAATACAAGTTTATTCACAACACAAAATATATTATGTATTCTCTTTGAAAAACAAACATTTTTCATTCTGTTTATGAATTGGCAAATTTTATACCAACTCTTAGTTATTTGCTGGGTTTTTTTTCTAATTTGGGAGACATTTATTTACTTTCCAACATCACCAATCATGGATATGAGTGGTTAAATCTTTTATTTCTCCAGGAAAATACAGCACTATTGAGTGACAATTACATTCTATGGAGAACTTCAATCTTTGGTCACAGTGTTAAGAGGTCCTGGTTTGGGTTCCACAAACCCTCTTTAAAATGTTCTACCAAACCTTAGTTTTAAGATTAAGATAAACACACTTTATTTAAAACTTCATGAAACTAGTTGAGAATAAAGTTGACATATTTAGCTTATGTACTTTCTATAAAACTCGACTTATGTACTCCATATTATGTAATTTCCATAGAAACTATCTATATATACTTTCTATAAAACAAACAGTGTGAAAATGGCAAAAGAAAAAATGTTAGATAATCATGACTCCCAGTGAATGATATCAGACTATTCTTTTTCTCTGAGTTATCATGCATAACCAAGTTCAGTCATTTTGTAAGAGTATGATAACAAAATCAGATTCTTATATGTAACGATTGCAAAAAATGTTCTAAAAGTAGGGTGTATACTAAAATATTTGCTATTGTAAGACTAGTTGTAGGTCAGTTAAATCCTTAGAAAGCAGCTCTTCCTAATGAACATCATTATTTTCATATCAGAAAACATACTTTTAAAAATTTATCTTTAAAAAAAGAGCTATTACTCTTCACAACAGTATGGATGGAACTGGAGAGCATTATGCTAAGTGAAATAAGCCGGGGGCGGGCGAAAGACAAATACCATATGATCTCACCTATAAGTAGAACCTAACCAACAAAACAAACAAGCAAGGAAAATATAACCAGCAACATTGAAAGAAAAAAAGAAACCCAACAGAATCAAGAGGGAAGGAAGGAGGGGGTCAGGGAAAGGGAAGGGACGGGTCAAGTCAAGGAACATGCATAAAGGACCCATGGACAAAACCAAAGTGGGAAAGGATTGAGGGAAGGAGGTGGGGGAGAGGGTCAGAGGAAAGTCGTGGCAGGAAGGTGGAGACAAATATATTTGAACAATAAAAAAATAAAAAATAAAATAAAGAAATACTGGTTTGCTATAAAAAATTTATCTTTATAAGTGGCAAGTAAATTATAATAACTTTTAGACAAAAGTTATATTCTGTTACAAAAAAAATTATAGTGTGTTAAAAATTATATTTGGTTATTTGTATATAACAGATTGATATAAAAGAAAATGTTGAAACTATACATGTTAAATTATTTTTTTAGATGTTAAACTATTTTAAATAGCCCATAAAAATTTTGTGAGTGACATCCTTCAGGAAGACATGTTTTTCTCAGAGACATATTGTGGACAGAGGTACTTACTAACTGCAGAGTCATAGGAGGTAGAATTGTGCTCGCCTCTCATGAAAGGATATGGAGACAGGTAAGCATGTGTGCAGTTCTTGGATGGTGGTTGATTGGCTAGGAAGGACATGAAACAATGGTATTTATTATCGAGCACCTGAGTGAAGACTAGTTTCTAATAGAAGAAAAATAGGGAATCTGGGATGCACAGGCTAAGTAAAACTGTAGGATAGATCAACAAATTCAAAGAATTATTGAATGAAGGGGAAAGACTTTCTACAAATATCATATTGAGAAACACAGGAATCTGGAAAGAGAATGTATCCCACACATCTTATTCATGATATAATTCAATGCAGAGAATGCCTTTTTAATATCACCTAAAAATTGAATGCACCACATTTCATTTATTTTTACAACCATATTCTTTAGTTCCTAACACAATGCTTAGCACATAGTAATTTTTCAAAAATTGTTTTGAAAATGTAATAAACTTTGAGTTACCCTTGAGCAGGTCCAATTAAGATAAAATTTCTTCTATAATTAATTTCTAGGAAAAATATGTAAATTATAGATCATACAACTTAATAATTCAAACACACTTTTAGCATTTGAAGCAACCACAAGAAAAAACTTTTCTGTTGTGTAAAATTTGAAGATTTCATTGTGTATATTTTAAACAGGAGTGAAATAATCTTCCTTTCTCTAAGTTCTTCAAAAAGATCCCCCCTTGCATTGTCTTATTTACTCCATTTTACCTAAATCTAATTAATTTTTGACACATTGCATGTTTATTTTCCTCCCTGAAATGGCTATAAGATAATCTATCAAATATCCCTCTCAAAATGACATTTCATCATTATTTTGTTTCTTTCATATACACCACCTTGCCATCAGCTTACTTAAATCTTCTAAGATCTCATATTTTTATTTTATATTCCATAAGCTTACTGTTATATAAATATCATACTTTGATTTACCACAGGAGTATTTCATAAGGAGACTAATAGTTTTAACCCACAATAAGCTTTAGAGTAATTAACAGTTCTTTTCTTCATTGGGTGTAATAAGATAAAGCTAGCTGTTTTTAATAAATTTATTTTAAAAGATTAATATAATATAAGGAATACAGTTGAAAGAATGCATCACATTTTTAAGAAGCTGTTCAACTTCAAAAATAACTTAAAGTTTCTATTAGAGAATGCAAATATAAAAAGCAAGGCATTTCTTGCTATTGCCCATAAACTTGGTTGAAGCCCAAACAAAGCAAGCTTTCATCTGCCAAAGATGGTAATTAAATTTAATTATTTTAAAAATAGGAGTTTTAACTTTGAAGTTATGAATATGAAATAATACATCTTTATTTCTTGAGTTTTTAAAATAAAACATTTATTTGCAATATAACAATAGTAGACATCCAAAAATACTATAAATAACTTTATTTCTTAGGGTTAGAGAATAAGGAAACAGTGATAATTCAGTTTTACCATAAATATCCAAATTCCTATTTATATGTTTCAATAAAATAATTATTCCTATAGCCATTTCTACTTACTGAACTGCAATCACTTCATGAACTTTTTGAAGGTACCCTCTTGAGATTGTACAACTAAGAATTCAATCTTATTTTGTAAATGACATGTACTAAATAAGAAACTGCTCATTTTTATTTTAAAGACAAAAGAGAAAATAAAGCAAAAAGTCACTTACTGTACCAGAACTTCCAGATATTTGAATTATTTTCTTCCACCATACCATTAAACCAACATCTCCAGAAGAATCCTTCATGGTGAAAAGTGACATTCTCTATCTGCACAGAACACAAATGAAGTAACTTTTCAACACAAGGAATGTAGTCTAAATTATTACATCCAGAAAAATTTTAAAACAAGGTGTTTTTCCCAATAAAAATGATCAGCAACTTTTTACATATCTCTTTTATGAAGAAATAGATAGTCCACTGCTATTCTCTGATTTCAAGAGAATACATAAAGCTATTCTCACCACTGCCAAATACATCAATAGTTTGAAAAAAAACGCACATTCTGTTCTTCTGAACACTTCCCCACTTCAGTCACAAGAAGCCAATAGTCTGATCCAAAAGCCACCAAAAAGAGTAAAACCCCTAAAGCACCAAATAGAGCCCCAAAGAAGATGGCAATATTTAATCTCATTTTCAATTCACTAGTTTCTCTTTAAATAAAATATAAAAAGTTAAAAATGGCAGGAACCCAACTTCTCAACAAGAAAAGAATAAAGAATTTTGAGTAGACAGAACCGTCTTGAGAACCCTCTCCTAGCCCATGTGTTGGTAACTGCTCACTCACAACCAGCCGTTAGATTGTATTCCTTTTGCTTACCCCTGGAGGGATTCCAACCCAGCAGCTGAGAATGGCCAGCTATTTTAAGAAACTGATTGAGGAGCTTTCTCTCTCTCATGGGAATCCAAAAATAGCTGACCTTCTCCTGACTATAGAGAGGAATATCAAGAGCTGGCTGAAGTAATCATTATTGCTGTTGGGTAATCCACAGAAGTGGAAAGAAGATGGAATGGCATAAAGTCATCGACAGTATTGGCCCAGTCCTAAGTGTCTGAATAAGCTCCTCTTTGCCTAGAGTGACCATTAAACCCCTGAAGATACTTAAGACTCTCTTTAAAGGTATTTAATTTACAGCTATAAAGAATCACAAAGACTACTCTTGAATACAATTGGAACTGTAATTATTCCTTTTGGATGTTTTAGGGACAGAAATTGTGGGTCAAATGATCTAACATAGAACTGAGTACAGTTTAGGTTTATAAGCTAGATCTTCAGATATGTATTAAAAGATCCAAGAATATGGTAACATGAACTATTTAAACTATTGAAATGTACTTTTTTGCAACACACATTATTGACATAAAAACAGCACTGTCTACAGCAGCTCCCAGATCTTGTACAAGCTCTTTCAAATAATCATCTCAAAAGTGGGCTGATAAAAAAAAAAACTTCAAAAATATATTCTTTTCTAGATTAAGAGGAAAAGACCTTGTCTACTTTTTCTTTTGTTTTCTTCATTATAAGTTTCCAATTTCTTCAAAATATCAATCATACTTGATACCCATACAATCCACCTACTAACAATGAATCTATTCTTTCTCCATGCCTTGTCTCTATGGTTTGTTGGTTTTTATGTCTGAATATGCCAGAGAATATTTTAACTATTTGCATAATATGTTAAAACTTGTACTCTCCTTATGGGTATGGGTTTATAGTCTCAGTAGTAACAAGTCACTGCATCTTCTAAGAGGCAGCTAAACTATACCACTTCTTTCATCACTTTTTTATTTGGTATCTTTAGAGTATATTTGGTAAGGACAAAAAGATGACTCCTCAGTAAGGATGTGGGGACTTGGCTGCTCCAGCTACATGCAATTGGAGGTACTCAAAGGTCATGAATAGAATTCTGAGTCATAGAATCAGTGACTGTGAAGGTTAAATGGAATTTGAGAGTTCTCTCCCCCAATTCCTCATCTAAGGTTCCAATCTCTTTTAAAAGACTCTCCATGTCTGACTTTATTCCACTGTATGCTGTTAGGAAAACTGGACTGGTACATACAAAAAAAAAAACAAAACAAACTAGACCACTATCTTATACCATAAACCAGAATAAACTCAAAATAGATAAAAGACTTAAACATGTCAAATACCATAAGAGGAAAATATAGGCATAAAATTTCAGATATCTTGCATAGCAATATTTTTGCCTATATATTTCCTAGGCCAAGAGAAATAAGGACAAAATAAACAAATGGGGCTGCATCAAATTAAAAAGCTTCTGTACAGCTAAAGAAACCATCATCAGAATAAAAAGAGTACCAATTGTATGGGAGAACATATTTACAAAAGATACATTGGATAAGGGTTTAATCTCCAAAATATAATAAAGATTTAATACAACTTAACACCAGAAAGACAAACAATGCAATTAAAAAATGGGCAAAAGACCTGAATAGACACTTCTCCAAGGATATACGGATGGCCCATAGACATATAAAAAAATGTTCAACATCACTAGCCATTAGAGAGATGCAAATTAAAACCACAGTGAAAAATCACCTCACACTTTCCAAAATGGCTATCATTAATAAATCAACAAACAAGTGCTGGCAAGGATGTGGAGAAAAGGGAACCGTAGTGCACTGTTGGTGGGAATGCAAACTGGTGCAGCCACTGTGGAAAGCAGTACTGAATTTCCTCAGAAAACTAAAAATATAATTGCCTCTTGACTCAATGATTCCTCTCCTAGGAATATACCCGAAGAACCTTGAAACACCAATTCAAAAGAATTTATTTGCCCCTATGTTCATAACAGTGCCATTTACAATAGCCGAGATTTAGAAACAACCTAAGTGCCCATCAGTAGATGAGTGGGGGGAAAAAAAACTGTGGTACTACTATGCAATGGAATACTACACATCAGAAAAAAAGGAATTCCTACCATTTGAGACAACATGTATAGAACTGAAGACTATTATGCTAAGTGAAAGAAGCCAGCTGGTGAAAGACAAATACCATATGATCTCACTTACGGGAGGAATGTAATGAAAAAAGTAAACTAATGAGCAAAATAGAACCAGAGGCATGTAATCAGGGGACAGATTGACAGTGATAAGAGGGGAGGAGGGAGGTGGAGACTGATTGAAAGAAAGTGAAGAGATTAGTCAAAGAACATGTATGCAGGACCCATGGACACGGACAACAATGTGGCCATGGAAATGGGGGAGGTAGACTGGGTGGAGGAGGACAAAGGGGGGAAAATTGGGGCAACTCTAATGTTGGGAAAGCATAAACAAATTATTTTTAAAAATAAAAGATTCTCTATGTCATCATCCATTCCATTTCCTGCCTGTTGGATTTAAGAGCACCATTAATGTCCACAAATCTCTGCTTCAATTTCTGCCAAAACCTGCTTCCCTAAAGTTAATTAATCCTATTCTGTCCCCTGCTTGCACATATGAGAGGACTTTCTGCTATTTTGAAGATGTAATCATCTTGTGTCTCCTCAAAGCACAATACCCATTACACCCCTAAATATAGGTCTTCTTTTCTTTGAAAATAAACATCCTACTCTTTTAAACATTCCCTTGATTGACAGAACTCCAAATCTTCTTGCTGTTCTTGTCCTTTGCTACAAATTTCAGGATTGAAGTGACACATAGTAAAATATTCTGGGTACAGTCTAAGAACTTAATGACATCACTTTTCTTATTTGGATGCTATGTAATAGCCTCCCAAAGATGTCCAAACTCTAAATCTACACATAATCACATGATCTGTGAATATGTTACATTACATGGAAATATGCTGAACAATACAGGTAGGCCTGTCTAATCACATGAATCCTTAAAAGAAGATAATCTTTCCAGACAATGTGGGCAGAAAAAAAAATGTAACCAGAAGAGTCAGGCAGTTTCTGGATTGAAGATGGAGGAAGAAGTCCAGAGCCAAGGAATGTGGGTGCTTCTAGGAGCTGGAAGAGGAAAGAAAACAGATTATCCCTTGAGAGCCTTCAAGAAGGAATACAGCACTACTAATACCTGGATTGGGAGATTACATACAAAAGCTGCTATCTTTGTGTTAATTTGATATAACAACAATACAGAACTAATATGGGTGCTAGTCTATAATTAAGCAATATCAAATCAAATTAAGGTCTTTTGGGGAGAAGGAAAATATATTTTCAAAAAGTGCTAATTGAGAACTTGTGACGGTCCAAGGCATTTTATCAAATATTCAGTTTAATACACAGTTCTTGACCTTGAAATCTTCATGAGCTAGTAGAAAAAATGATTCCTTAGAATGAAGTACATAGAGGTTGTAATAATGAATTTCTGGTCACTCCAAATACATTCTCCTTCTCACCACACACCTGTCTCACAGATTTAGTGTTAATGTGTTTATGGTTGTACAGTAGTGGTTGTAGGTGACAACACTGTTGTTTGAATAGAAAGAAGAATCTTTTTTAAATAGGTTTTATTTATGTTATTTATATCTCAATGGTTTGTAGTAAAAAATCTATGCATTAACATTAAATCTTTAATACACACATTCACATATATACATACAAACAAGATTTTTAAAATAAGTAGAAAAGAGTGGAAAACTTTGGAATTGTTACAATTCATTTTAATTTTGTCATTGTCCCAAAAAATATAGCATTGGCCAAAAAGCTCATTTAGTTTTTTCTGTAAAGTATAAGACATTTTTCATTTTCACCAATAACTTTATTGATTTAGATATGTTGAATATCATGTGGTATAATATTGATTTTTCTCAGTTAATGTCTTGATTTGATCACTATCAACTTCAACTGTTCTACCCAACCTTGAAGCATCATCCAGCAAGAAATCTCCAGCATAAAACTTGGCAAACCATTTTGACATGTTCACTCAGTCACAGCACCTTCTCCATGCACAAATCTTTTTTTGAATTCAGTTCCATTTTTACTTTTCTTGAAACAATAAAGCATAATATATCAAAAATGTTGTGCATTTTCTTCTATCTTCGATATTAAAATAACTACAAAAATAAGTCATCAATTTTGATAAGTTTTTTTTTTAATGCACACTGACATGACAACTGTCACAATACAATTTAACAAATTTGTTTCAAATTAAGTTCAAGAAAACTAAGTGCTACTAGAGCCATCTTATGGAAAAAAACAAACAAACTTTATGGCCAATACTATATATTCTGGACTAGGCCCATCAACTACTAAGATTTTGTCACCTTATCCAAAAATATATAAACATCATTATAAAAATGTGTTTATTAAACCAATGATTAATCTGATCTAATTTTTTCCAATCATTCAATGTGTGCATCTATTTGAGAAAAATATCATACAATACTTTGACATCATAAAACTGAAATCCTTTAGCTCAATAATCTTTAGTGATTATAGTGTATGACACAAGACAGGCACTAAAATAAAATAAAAATCAATTGGCATTAGGACTCTTGGCTGAGATGCAAATACATTACCTCCTGAGGTAGCCAAATGGTAATCCATCCCAGAAGAAATGGCCCTGAACTGACCTGGTTGGTTCTTTATGAAACTTGGAGAGATGGAATTTATCAGGGTGTGTGCTTCCTTTGCAGCTGCTCACACACCATCTTATTTTTAAAAATCTGTATTAGACCCTTATGGAGAAATGAAATGGAACTTGCAGTCCAGGAGTCAAAAAATTGTCTTTTGTCTTGAGAAAGTTATATCCTTTGCCAGTCATTTAAAACTCCTCTAATTTTCTATGATTCTAAAATACTTCTAACAGCCATTCAGTATCTCCTTCCCAAGTTATTTC